TCTTGGTTTGCAAAGAACAGGCTTAGTGTACATGTCAGACCACTGATAAGATGCAAGGAAACCTTGCTGTCGAAATATAGTGAGTTCAGCTGAAGTAGATGCCAGATGATCTGAAAAGAATTCCTGATCCCTCTTCTGAGCCTCTATAGCTGACAAGAACATACTTTCTCTGTCTATCTGAGGATTCTGTAAATCTTTAAGCATAGCTTCATTAATGGCTCTGGAGCATGCAAGCCCAAAGAGTGTCTGGCGAGTATCAAGCTTAGCCAATTTCTTATCCTCAACTCTGTTAGAGCAAGACTTCGAGTCACTCATTAATATGTAATCCTCATTAATTTCAGGTGCTTTAAGGAAGTCATCCATATTATGAAGAGGGAACTTACTTTGATTAAATGGTGGCGTATGTTGACCTTGTGATTTCATTGCTTTCGCGAACGCTGCTTTCAGCGTATCTGCCACTTGCGAAACAGGTTTGATGGGCGGAATCGTCAAGGTGTTTATATCCTCCTCCTGAACAAGGTATGTATCCGCTAGCAATGAGTTATGTGTAGGAGACGCAATAGGCGATCCAGGCTAAGAGTTCCAAGACGGTGTTAATCGAAGAGTTTAGATCCTCCTGTGTATTATCATCTGAGATCTCTGGCTCTTCCCAGATGGAATCGTCAGCAATAGATGGAATAGGAGTCGACTGACGAACAGGTCGATCCAATTCCGTATTTGATTGTTGTTGATGTATAGCCATCATGACTTGCCTGGTGATGAAATCTGGTTATGAATGACTGAACGCCTGAGGATTCATTCCTGGGTATTGGTATGTTGCAAAAGGGTTCACGAAGGCAGGTATTGGTGGGTTTGCGAAGGCTAGATTAGGTGGGTTTGTGAAGGAAGTATGTGGGTTCGTGAAGGTAGATGGAAATCTGAGGACGTTCGGAAACAATGTAGCCGTATGTGTAGCAGGGTTCGCCGATGTTTGAGAAGCTGGAAACGTCCTGATCAACGACATAATTGAAGGGTTCACGAAGGTTGCTTGCGGTTGCTTCATGGATGAGTGAGGAGGAACATTCACAATGCGTGACGTAGAGTAATAGGGTTCGCAAACCCTGATGTCTGCGAAGGTCACACTTAGGTGGCTGACAGAAACCTGGGTTCCGGAATGTCGAAATCATAGTCCGCTGCTGGGAAGGGTTCGGGAACGTAGTTCCTGACCCAGCTGCATTCTCAATGGTAGATAGATGTCTGCGGTGCCATTCTCACAATAATAACGTGTTCGAGAACTGGTGGTTGTCAGAAGGATAGATTGTCTGCTTCATCAACAGGCATTGAGACCTTCGCGAAGGTCTGAGTATCTACAGTGGCAGCAGTAAATTTCAACACTGATTTTGATGACGACTTAGAGGACGTCTTCTTCATTTTAGCCAGCTTTTGTAGACCAGAACCCGCCTCAGGAGCTTTCTTTTGAGGAGGGACTGTGAAAGGCAGAAACCGGAGAATCCTCTGCGAGGAATTCCGGTGTCAAATGTGAATTATTAGATAAGGGAATGATCTCATCCCGATGATAATAACGGGATTAATTCACGTTCAATAGGCTGTATCTTTCCCCTTAGCGGTATCATGCTTCTTCTTATCCATCTTCTTGCGCAAACAGGATTAAATGTATTTATTAAATAAATATTCAGACAAATGTGTGTAATATATACATTGTGACGAAATGGAACATGACGGGGAAATGCAAGAAGGGCACACAGGGTGTGGATCAGACGCAGAACGTCTATATCTGCATTGTTGACAAGATCCCATGTGTGAGAAAACAAAGTGAGAAAATCTAGAAATTAACAGTGCAAATTCACTATAAATACATCGTTATGATTGCCAAAGCATATTAGAAGCAATCTACTGCAAAAATTTGAGATTTGGGTCTAAATTACAGTAGTATAAGGCCGTAGAAGGGACCCGAGGTCCATGCCTTACCGTCCAAATGGGCGATGTAGGAGAGAGTGACGATATGGCCACTGGGCACATGGGACAAATGGCGGGAAAGCGTGAAAGGGGCCCTGTTTGGGTGAGTACCATATATTACCGTCTATGAGCCGGATTTGAGGATAAAAAAAAAAGCAGTCTGTAGAAGGGGGTTGGCTTATCTATGAGTTATGCTTTCGTCAAACTTTTTTCCAGGGGTAAGAAAACAACATTGTATCACTTCACATGAAAAAACAACTTGAAACAACTTTGTCAGTAAAGACGTCAAATTTGCAATTAAACATCACTAGACAAGATTATTTACCTTTTAAGTTCTAAGTTGTTCTTGCTGGGCATTGATTTATTTGCAGGGATTAAGATTACCGTGTGTATCTGAGCCGGAAATAGCAATCAGCTGTGCACGTTTCCCGGGCGATCAAGTTCAAATGTGCACAATAATATAAGGGGATGAATTCTGACGCAGTCATCAGTAAAATATAATACAGAGTGTTATTATTTAACCCAAAGAAATATATGGCAGGTGAATATAGATGGCAGGTGAATTACCTTGTTCCTATAGTAGTATAGGAGTATATCCTATGCATCGAAAGCCTGTGCTATGTTACTGTAAACTAGCATTCCATGGAAAACGAGGCGGTAATCAGATTGTTGAATGGGGTAAAATAAGCAAGCCAGTTTGTTGACATGTGATCGTCCAACTACAAAAAGTATGATATTTGGCAAAACAAAATATATTATCCATTTTCTGTCAACTACACTTCTTTTCGATGCGTGAGTAGACGCAATATGATTGTGAATTCTTTGAATAATGTGGACCAAAGTTATAATTATTGGTAACTGCCAGTTGTCCGTGGTCTGTGTTTGCCAGGATTAGGACCCCATCGCGGGGGATCGGCTTATGTATGAAACATACCATTTTGACACTGATTTTAAGGGTCAAGTTTGGGGGTCGACTTATCTATGGCCATGGGTTGGCTTATAGACGGTAATATACGGTAAGTTTTTGACTGTTTTGGGGAAAATAAGGACGGCGGTTTCCACTCAACCTTCGGAAGGAAGTATGGATAAGGAAAACTAAGCTGTTTGTCTTTTTTTTTTTGCTTTTCGCCATTGCTACTATAAGAATGATATTGTTCTACGGTTTCTTCAATAACTTGTTTATCCTCTGTTACATATTTTTTATCATGGAGTAAACTGTTGTTAAATTTCCAAAAGCCATGGCCCCTCTCTTGCTTGGTAAATTCTATTTCAAGGGAAATAAATAACTGGCAGTTATGTTTCTTGAAGTAATTATTTCTCCAGATTTCTACTTGTTAAAAAAAAAATCGGTTTCAAAGGTTTTGATTTTCTCCATTTGAATCTATTCAGATCAAGATGTGACTCTCTCTAAGAATCATATAAATTTAGTTCATCCATCATATCATGAACTGGAATTTGGATTATTTATATGCTAATAATTAAATGCATCTTTCTGTTGATCTTGAACCGACAGTCGCCACAAATCATATTTGTTTTTGTTTCCAGACGTTTAATCATTTTCTTAAAGGTCAGATGCAAGGTCAAACATAATTAAAACACAATTACCACTTCTTCATGACATATAATATGCATTGCTGATTATGAAAAAACAAATAAACAAACTTATAAGCGTACAATCGCAAATCAAAAGTGCAATATTTTGTACTTGGGTTTACTTCCCAAGAAACGAAGCAGCAGGGATACCGAACCCAGTCAGAGCGGGTGGGTGTGCACTCAAGTGTAACGGCTGGTTCATTTGCAGATGCCCTCATGGCTCATTGTGTGTGTATATATAGAGATGTTGGGTTTTGTAAATACATGCTCATTTTTGTGTATAACATTTTGCAATCAACAGACATCATAACATGTCATGTGTACAAGTATCACACCTGCCTGTCTGTGTAATTACATAATGTGACAGAGACCAAACTCGGGCCATAAATCATTGCGTTTTGTTTATGGTGTATAGCCTGATAGGTGTTAAGTTCAAATTGCATGTGGTCAGTGATCGAAGTTGTGTATCAAATATTGTCATTAGCAGACGGGCAGGCAGACACATAGGTGTCAATAAAACAGAAATTGAGTTTTGTCTGTGACAACGATATATCTATATCACAGTTAGAAATTCTGTCAACGCTAAATAACGACATTGCTTTTAAGTATCGAACTGAGAAAGTGACTCGGTAAGAAGAACGTGTGGTGAAATAGACAAATGAAATTATATAAACAGTTAAATCGGTAATCTACTGTAATAACATATAAAAAGCTCGCGCCTCTGAAATATCAACAAAACATTAGAAAAATAGCTCACACCAAAGCCTTCACCGAGTATTCACCGGACAACCCACTTCCAAGCTGCGCAAACCTATTTCACTGCGCATGTGCTATGAGCGCAGCCCAGCTGTTGAAACCAATTCAATTCCCCCAAGCGCTTGGGGAAAATTAGTGAATCGTTTGAACTACGATTTCGCACGGTTTTTATCAAGTTATTCTTCAACTTTATAAGTTGATTTTGCATTTTTGATGATTTGTTTCGGTAAGTCCATACCGAAAAGTATCAGAATCTGCAAAGTTGTGTTTTACGTTGCATGTGACCATTAACGTTCTCGTAAAATTCAGGAGTATCTGCATTTGGACCGTATACACAAGATATACTTAGTATCTCGTCATCTATTTTGATTTTTAGAATATGATGACAAGTGACAGTAATTCTTTGGTAAAAGGAATGGCAATGGTGATGCCTCTTTTGAAACACAGCTTTGTCAGTCCAGGGTATTTATAAAAATAGAATGGAGATACCATGCACTTAGTAAGCAAGGTTGGTCTTTCAACATGTTCAGCAGTAAAACTCGGGACACTCACTCACTCCAGTTGCTACAAGTGACAACCTTGATACCCCTTGAACAAGATGAAGAAGGCAGCCATTATTGGGCAACAAATGTTAAAACCTTAAATTAACAGAAGCATATAGCATAATCTGGAAATACTTGAAAGCATCAAACCACCTGGTCCAACGATGAATGCCCTCGCTCCGCTAACATTGACAGAATGACTCAGCTGTTTCTGACGCAGGTTAAAGTTGATCAGAGCTGTTGCTATTCCAATTTTCTGAAGACCTGTAACATAATATTTGGAAGTTACCAAGGTTACCACACTTCTGTTATGGTAGTGTAATCATTCAGAACATATTTTTTTTTTATATACATTATCAATGATAAATTCTTAAAGGTCACATGCAACCAAAAAATCAAACATAATTAAAACACAATTATCACTTATTCATGACATATAATATACATTGCTGGTTACGAAAAAATATATAAACAAAATTATAACCGTACAATCGCAAATCGAAAGTGCAAAATTGTGTACTTCGGTTTACTTCCCAAGAAACGAAGCAGCCGGGATACCGAACCCAGTCAGAGCGGGTGGGTGTGCACTCAAGTGTAACGGCTGGTTCATTTGCAGATGCCTTCACGGCTAATTGTGTGTATATATATATAGAGATGTTGGGTTTTGTAAATACATGCTCATTGTTTGTGTATAACATTTTGCGATCAACAGACATCATAACATGTCATGTGTACAAGTATCACACCTGCCTGTCTGTGTAATTACATAATGTGACAGAGACCGAACTCGGGCCATAAATCAATGCATTTTGTTTATGGTGTATAGCCTGATTGGTGTTAAGTTCAAATTGCATGTGGTCAGTGATAGCAGCTGTGTATTGAATATTGTCATTAGCAGACAGGCAGGCAGACACACAGGTGTCAATAAAACAAGACATTGAGTTTTGTCTGTGACAACGACATATCTATATCACAGTTAGAAATTCTGTCAACGCTAAATAATGACATTGCTTTTAAGTATCGAACTGAGAAAGTGTCTCGGTAAGAAGAACGTGTGGTGAAATAGACAAATGAAATTATATAAACAGTTAATTTACTGTCATAACATATAAAAAGCTCGCGCCTGTGAGATATCAACAAAACATTAGAAAAATAGCTCACACCAAAGCCTTCACCGAGTATTCACCCGACAACCTGCTTCCAAGCTGCGCGAACCTATTAACTTGCGCACGTGCTATGAGCGCAGCCCAGCTGTTGAAACCCGTTTTCCCCAGAAAAGTCTGGGGAAAATTAGTGAAACGTTTGAACTCTGATTTCGCGCGTGTTTTTTCATCGCGTTATTTTTCAACTTTACAAGTTGAATTTGCATTTTTGACGATTTGTTTCGGTATGTCCATACCGAAAGGTATCAGAATCTGCAAAGGTGTGTTTTACGTTGCATGTGACCTTTAACATATTATAAAAATGAATGCTCGTTCAGTTGAAGACCTATTTGATCTAAGCTTTTATTCCCAAAATGGGTTTGTGCATGTCTGACTGTATGGAATGGCTGATGCATTGTGGCAACCTCATCCTATCATAAAAATCCTCATGTTTTTACCATCTATCACTTTCCAATAATATCCTTTTATCATTGACAACAAAAATACTAATAAAGTAGGCTTATTTTAAAGAGATGGCAAATGTGGATTTACCGCTAATGATTACCTCAATCTTGCTACAAATTGTAGGCTTTCAGTGTCAAACCCATCACAGGACCAACGGCCCTGCTTTCGGTGGGCCACACAGAGCCAGTTTGTAATGCTAATGTACATATGTGAATCTATCGCTTTTCCCACTTTCCAGAATGTGATGATCTTGTGTAGGTGTTTAGGTTTACTAGGCCAGGGTCTCATAGCAAGGTATTTTACAACAGCTTAGACATAACTCTTTTTACACAACATAGAACATAGAATACTGAAGTAACATTTTGTCTGTGCAATGGGATATTGTCTTTAGGCATATGATCTCAGCTCAACTGCATCATAGATTGTGAGTTCTGCTATTGACTACTTTGACTTGTGTGTGAATATGCATGACAGGCTTTCATGCATGATGCAAAATTTCATTGTTTCCATCTTGTGTTCAGATGCAAATGGTGACAAAACAGAATGGACGTGGGGGGGTACTGAATGAGCAAACGTGACAGTCTGTAATTGCCGTGGATGCCATGCCATATTTTTAAACTGTTCAAAAATTTTCCATGGCAGTCACGGTACTAGAGAGAAACCTAGTAAGTCGTAGTAAACGGGGAATGCAACAAAACGTGACAGCATGTAATAGGCCACAACGGTTCCGCAGTGGGACGGGAGGCATGTGTATTCCTCGGCATCTCAAGGTCCTTTTAAGCTTTGTCACATTCAGCCACGTTTGTTTGGCGTTTTGTCAGCTGTTTCACCCTTGCTGCCCATTCTGTCCCGGTTCTCATGGCAAGCTAGGTTGTATGGTAGCCAATTCAGCCCGTTCTATCACGACATATCCAGGCGTGTGATGGTTTACAGGGCTAGTGAGACATGGCACATTGCGTTCTCTGGCATTCCCTCACTGCAGCTGATGCTGGCCTTCTTGCTGACGCAAGGACACGATGCATGCCCCCAGCAAACATACAAACACAAAATCTTCTTCATCTTGGGGGGGTTTATGCTGCTCTTGCCTCTCAGGATACAATGGCTGCTAATGCTTGGGAGGCCTTATTTTTATACCATGGGCACAAATGTGCTCCAAAGCTAGCCAGCATCCATGTTTCATCAGTAGAATGTCTTGACAGAATGCGCAAAACATGTCAAAACCTTGATCAAAACTTAAGAAACGTGAGGGAACGCATCAGAACCTGACAGGCCTGGAGGAAACGTAATGGCATCCGTAGTGGACTGCGGGCCGAGCCGTAGCGTGCCTTTGAGCTTCCGGGACTCAGCAGCCCGTTTTTCCCAACAGCCCATCGCGAAAACTGTGAGAGACTGTGAGAAAACTTAGCAGGACTGAACAAAACTGGACTGCAGAGGAACAAAATGGCCAAAATCCCACAGTGCACTACGTTTCTGGGAAAAGGGGCTGCCGTGGCCACCGGGAACATAGTGTAACCTTAGCATTACGTGGTAGTCTCTGGTCATGGCTATGGATGAATACCAAGAAGTGGCTGGTGGTAGACTTGTACAAGAATTGAAAGAAGTGCCACAGTAACTTCCTACATTATTCAACATGATCAAACTACATAAATGATAACTCTGACAACTGTAATAATGGACAGTAAACTCAACCCACATCTCTTCCCGTTTGGGATGTGGCTTTTCTGGTAAAGCACGATACATAGACTGTGTGACATCTTCCTCAACTGCTCAGCCATGAGTACAATGTTCACCTTTTACATAAGACGACAAATGTGATTTGACATGGCAAATGAACAAAATGCTCTATTACTTGCATATTTTGTCACTGAACACTGCTTGAAAAACATTAGTCTAAACAAGAAGACATGGTCATCAATATTCCCCGCCACCTATTTAGTTCCTGTTTTTTAACTCCACCATGACATTCATGTCCTGAAAACACATGCCACATTTGGTTTCCCTATCTATAACGGTTACTGAGAAAATCTGTTCCGGCTGGGATAATGTGCACTAAGTCAAGAAATGCATGACAAGGGCCATAACTCTGTAACAAATTGTAACACGGTTTGCGTTCTCGAACTCCATCAAGGCATTCATGACCTGAATACACATACCAAATTTGGTTTCCCTATCTATAACAGGTTTTGAGAAAATCTGTCCCCTATCATCTCGGACAGACCAAACCAATATCCCCCTCCCACTTAAAGGTGGGGGATAATGAGGAACATAGCAAGATGTTCCGTCATAAAGAGTTACATACATACATTGTAAATGTTCATACCTTACTTTTTTAAATAAACACTGTATAAGACATTAGTTACACAAAATATTACAGCAAAAATCTCAAAAATATCTCACCGAGAAATGTCCACACAAAAGCTGGTTCATTGTAGATCATCATGGCCACTGTGTCCCCCACCGACAGCCCCCATGTCCTCACAACATTTGCTACTCTATTGGCTTGCTGGTCAATGTATTCATAAGTGAAAACATTGCCTTCAAAAATAATAAACGGCTTCCTTGGTTGATTGTAGACATGTTTCTCAAATCTGTCTATCAGGAACTCTCCACTTTCCAAATCTTTGTCCATTTCAGTTTTGAAGCGCTTCCCGACCTTCATGACCTTGAGGTCATGATTTATCCAAGGAAACATGGTTTTCCAGGCGACAACAGACGCCCCTGCTGCTCCAGCAACACCGTACACAACCTTGTCCAACATGCTGCCAACTGTATCAGTTCACGTCTGCTCTCACATAACAGGTCGCCTGGAAGAAGAAGGAGCACATGGATCATGATGGTGCTTCATGCAGTATTAGATAGGACTGTATTGTATTGACCCAGCTATGGGATCATGCTGCGATCATGTATCAATACAAACATATTGGTTGAAATTGATTGTAAAATACTATTTTCAGACTTCAATTCGCTGTAGCAGATTCTTAGTAAAGTTTGCTTGTCATTCATTCTATTCATGGAGCAAAAAACACTGAGATACATATACCTGGCAAAGAAATACATACTGTGAATGAAGTGAATAAGGCGACTGTGTACTTAATGCATATAACTTGACACAAATCAGCGGAGAGCAACATCCAAACAAAGTTCATAACACCTGTCAATCAAGGCAAGAAGCCAGAAGAACTACTTACAAAATGAAACTAACCAGAACAAATACCAGGGATTATTCCTACATTAGTTTCCACTACTATGTACGAAATAGGAACGATGAAGATGGCAAGTCAGATAATCTAACCACATGCTAACTGGAATGCGACCCCTGACCATCAAGTACACTTGACATTACAAAGTACACTTAGATACCTAGTTAAAAGACAGACAGACCATGGCTGTCATGTGTTATCTCTAGACATTCGCTCAGTGGATGCGTGAATGATACCTCAGCAGTCATTTATAATTATAATAATGATAATAATAATGCTTTTTGGTTCGTTTTGTTATTAAATGCCACTCATAGCAATATTCCAGCTATATGGTGTCAGTCTGTAAAAAAATTGAGTCTGGACCACACAATCCAATGATCAACATCATGAGCATTGATCTACAGAGCTCCAGATAAGATTTAGCTCATGTGGGTACTGTACCCACTGTACTTTTTTGGAGTGGGTATTATGAATGTTGAGTGGGTATTTCATTTTCCGTTACCCACTGCTTTCAAATATGTGCGTATTTCAGTCATTTTACTTACCTATTATTATGTGACTGAGTAAGTTTACTAAGCAGGTATGTTCTGCCTTATGTCATACCTAATCAAAACCAACTTAAATATAATGGAAATGATTTCATAAAAAATCACTCATTCTATACTGACAGTACAACACTTGTCCTATACTAACAGTACAACTTGATAGCAATCGATGTCTTTTTCATTACGCAAGTGATTTTTATAAATATATTCCGTACACATTTGTTTTAAACTGTTTGCGTATCTAACATTTTAAATGCGTAATTGGTACGCAACAATTATTTTCAATGCGTAATTGGAAATTTTATACGCGTATTTTACCCGGATACGCAGATATCTGGGCCTCTGGATCTACACAATTTGATGTGTCAACCAAGCCAGCGAGCCTGTCCATCCGATCCCATTAGTCGCCTCTTACAACAAGCATGGGTTGAAGACGGATTCTAACCCAGATCTTCACATGAATTATAATAATAATGCAAAGTAAAGGGTGTAAACATGTTGTCCAGAAAGTCCCCTTTCTTGCACAATATGGAGTGGGGCTCAGGGGTGGAAATAACCCATTGCCCAACGTCTGAGTCCAGTGTTTTTTTTCTGTCAGGCAAGCAAATTTGTATATCACACTGTACCGGTGTCCAGTTGACTTTCCAAAAACTCAACAAGAAAACAGCTGGTATAGTGTAAAAATTATCCGGGCAAGTGATTTTACATGTGCCACTGTTCCGGAGTACACCAGTAAGTTTAAAGTTATTTCCATCCCTGGGGCTTACTCAGACATAGTGATGCCACCCTACAACTGTCCACCGCCACAGGTCATGAAGCCACAGGTTGACATTGGCTCAACATTTATTTCCAGATCACCAGACAATACCCCGCTTATCAAAGAAGTGTAAAGTGAATTGGGATTAATCGAACATCATTATCACTTGGGGTCTGTCATCATTATCACCTGGGGTATGTCATCATTAACACTTGGGGTCTGTCATCATTATCACTTGGGGTCTGTCATCATTATCACCTAGGATCTGTCATCATTATCACTTGGGGTCTGTCATTATCACCTGGGGTCTGTCATTATCACCTGGGGTCTGTCATTATCACTTCAGGTCTGTCATTATCACTTGTGGTCTCTCATTATCACTTGGGGTCTGTCATCATTATCGCTTGGGGTCTGTCATCATTATCACTTGGGGTCTGTCATCATTATCACTTGGGGTCCATCATCATTATCACCTGGGGTCTGTCATTATCACTTGAGGTCTGTCATTATCACTTGGGGTCTGTCACCATTATCACTTGGGGTCTGTCATTATCTCCTGGCATCTGTCATCATTATCACTTGGGGTCTGCCATTATCACTTGGGATCTGTCATTATCACTTGGGGTCTGCCATCATTATCACTTGGGGTCTGTCATCATTATCTCCTGGCGTCTGTCATCATTATCACTTGGGGTCTGTCATTATCACTTGGGGTCTGTCATTATCACTTGGGGTCTTTCATCATTATCACTTGGGGTCTGTCATTATCACCTGGGGTCTGTCATCATTATCTCCTGGCGTCTGTCATCATTATCACTTTGGGTCTGTCATCATTATCACTTCAGGTCTGTCATCATTATCACTTCAGGTCTTTCATCATTATCACTTGGGGTCTGTCATTATCACCTGGGGTATGTCATCATTATCACTTTGGGTCTGTCATCATTATCACTTCAGGTCTGTCATCATTATCACTTGGGGTCTGTCATCATTATCTCCTGGCGTCTGTCATCATTATCACCTGGGGTCTGTCATCATTATCACTAGGGGTCTGTCATTATCACTTAGCGTCTGTCATTATTATCTCCTGGCATCTGTCATCATTATCACTTGGGGTCTGTCATTATCACTTGGCATCTGTCATCATTATCACTTGGGATCTGTCATCATTATCTCCTGGCGTCTGTCATCATTATCACTTGGGGTCTGTCATTATCACTTGGGGCCTGTCATCCCTATCACTTGGGGCCTGTCATCATTATCCCTTGGGGCCTGTCATCATTATCACTTGGGGTCTGTCATCATTATCTCCTGGCGTCTGTCATCATTATCACTTGGGGTCTGTCATTATCACTTGGGGTCTGTCATCATTATCACTTGGGGTCTGTCATCACTTGCCGTCTGTCATTATCACTTGGGGTCTGTCATCATTATCACTTGGGGTCTGTCATTATCACTTCAGGTCTGTCATCATTATCTCCTGGCGTCTGTCATCATTATCACATGGGGTCTGTCATTATCACTTGGGGCCTGTCATCATTATCACTTGGCGTCTGTCATCATTATCTCCTGGCGTCTGTCATCATTATCACTTGGGGTCTGTCATTATCACTTGGGGTCTGTCATCATTATCACTACCGGGGTCTGTCATCATTATCACCTGGGGTCTGTCATCATTATCACCTGGGCCTGTCTGTCATCATTATCACCTTGGGGTCTGTCATTATCACCTGGGGTCTGTCATCATTATCACCTGGGGTCTGTCATCATTATCACCTGGGGTCTGTCATCATTATCACTCTGGGGTCTGTCATCATTATCACCTGGGGTCTGTCATCATTATCACCTGGGGTCATCATTATCACCTGGGGTCTGTCATCTCACCTGGGGTCTGTCATCATTATCACCTGGGGTCTGTCATCATTATCACCTAGGGTCTGTCTGTCATCATTATCACCTGGGGTCTGTCATCATTATCACCTAGGATCTGTCATCATTATCACCTGGGGTCTGTCCATCATTATCACTTGGGGTCTGTCATCATTATCACCTGGGGTATGTCATCTCATTAACACTTGTCATCATTAACACTTGGGGTCTGTCATCATTATCACCTGGGGTCTGTCATCATTATCACTTGGGGTCTGTCATCATTATCACCTAGGATCTGTCATCATTATCACCGGGGTCTGTCATCATTATCACCTGGGGTCTGTCATCATTATCACCTGGGGTCTGTCATCATTATCACCTGGGTCTGTCTGTCATCATTATCACACCTGGGGTCTGTCATCATTATCACCTGGGGTCTGTCATCATTATCACCTTCTGTCATCATTATCACCTGGGGTCTGTCATCATTATCACCTAGGGGTCTCTGTCATCATTATCACCTGGGGTCTGTCATCATTATCACCTGGGGTCTGTCATCATTATCACCTGGGGGTCTGTCATCATTATCACTATCACCTGGGGTCTGTCATCATTATCACCTGGGGTCTGTCATCATTATCACCTGGGGTCTGTCATCATTATCACTTGGGGTCTGTCATCTGGGGGGTCTGTCATCATTATCACCTGGGGTCTGTCATCATTATCACCTGGGGTCTGTCATCATTATCACCTGGGGGGTCTGTCATCATTATCACCTGGGGTCTGTCATCATTATCACCTGGGGTCCTGTCATCATTATCACCTGGGGTCTGTCATCATTATCACCTGGGGTCTGTCATCATTATCACCTGGGGTCTGTCATCATTATCACCTGGGGTCTGTCATCATTATCACCTGGGGTCTGTCATCATTATCACCTGGGGTCTGTCATCATTATCACCTGGGGTCTGTCATCATTATCACCTGGGGTCTGTCATCATTATCACCTGGGGTCTGTCATCATTATCACCTGGGGTCTGTCATCATTATCACCTGGGGTCTGTCATCATTATCACCTGGGGTCTGTCATCATTATCACCTGGGGTCTGTCATCATTATCACCTGGGGTCTGTCATCATTATCACCTGGGGTCTGTCATCATTATCACCTGGGGTCTGTCATCATCATTATCACCGGGGTCTATCATTATCACCTGGGGTCTGTCATCATTATCACCTGGGGTCTGTCATCATTATCACCTGGGGTCTGTCATCATTATCACCTGGGTCTGTCATCATTATCACCTGGGGTCTGTCATCATTATCACCTCTGGGGTCTGTCATTTATCACCTGGGGTCTGTCATCATTATCACCTGGGGTCTGTCATCATTATCACCTGGGGTCTGTCATCATTATCACCTGGGGTCTGT